ATATATATATATATAGACATATTCGATTATACAAAATATAAATATGTGCTGAAGTTAGTTGAAATGTAATATATATATATATATATATATATATATATATATATATATATATTAAACATATATATATACATTTAACATATATATACATATATATATATATGTATATATGTTTAAAGTTATATAAAGTATATGTAGACTGGCACACAATATTTTTAATAGAAAGTTAGTGAAGATACACAAATTATATTCTGACTACATTATAGTATCGTTATATAATCTTCTTTAAAGTTAAGTTTAATTAATTTTAAAAATATTTTGAGAATACAAATGAGCCTTAATTTTATCGGTGATGTGTAAGCATATTATATATTGTCGAAAGCTATGTAAGCTATTGAAGCTATTATATCATAACAACTATTGTGTGGATAATCTTTTCCAAGCTAAGTTTAATAACTTTGGCGTTACAAAGTTTTAGACACTGGTCGGGAATAGAGGTTTATGATTGGTGTAGTATATAAATGTATTATAACCTTTATTATTTAATAATATAATAATTAATTAATATATGTTTCGTGTTGCAGCTAGCACAACCGCTGAATCTAACAACGAGTGTAACCACACAGGCAACGGGTCTGAAGAAAACAGTGAAGACGCAAAGGGCCGGCGAAGGCAACGTCGTCAGAGAACACACTTCACATCACAGCAACTTCAGGAGCTGGAAGCTAATTTTGCCAGGAATAGATATCCAGATATGTCGACGAGGGAAGAAATATCGGCCTGGACTAATCTAACTGAACCAAGAGTAAGGGTAAGTGGTATGAGGCCTAGAATATTAAGTACACGAGGACCAATATTTTATGTTCCACATCTAAAATACGACTACGTAATAAGATTAGCATTTATTAAGATAATATAATTTCCCCTAACGATAACAGGTCCTGATAAGAACTGGACAATAATATTGTATACAGCATAAAGATGAGTCACTGGTCAATATAATATCGTAACCATTGTTGTTTTTGTTAGCCTGAATAATAATGGTCATTTGCATTAGCATACGCGGCCTTATGATTGATGTTATTCTCCTTATTTTGTAGTTCTAATATTGTTACCTATTGATTTATTGAGTATTATTATTCTATCAAGGTCCTTTTTATCTTTTTATTATTCTTCTCTTTTCTTGCTCTTCTTCATCATCTCGATTTTATAATAATAATAATAATAATAATAATAATAATAATAATTATTATTATTATTATTATTATTATTATTATTATTATTATTATTATTATTATTATTGTGTGGAATTGTTGCACCAATTAGTTGCTTGCCATAGCAACGGTTTCAGCAACTACTTCGGTCATTTTCTTCAGGCTAATGGACCCTTGATTTGATTGGTTTAACAAAACAGTTCTATACTATATTTATGGAAACAGATGAAAATCTTTGAGATTATTATTATTATTATTATTATTATTATTATTATTATTATTATTATTACATTATTAAGAAGACACAACAATAATTGTTACTTAACCAATATCCTGAGGCGCGTGGAACGGAGAGAGTAGAGAAAACAGTAGAACTTATCAGCATTTACCTTTTTATCATGAGCACTAATACCGTATTCTATGAGGGGCCTATTAGTGTGATTGTAATACATAAACATTATTATTGAAATTGTCATCATCATTATTAATATGGTCATTAATATATATTCTATACATCCATATTTATAACACGGACTGATTAATGATAATAATTATGCATACATTAACAATTCATTACCTAATCGTCTGTTGCGTTGTTCTTCCGTTCAGATTAAAACCAAAATACATCACAACACCCAACACCACTACACATATATTTTATTTAGAATTTAAATTTTTTGGATGATCTAGTGCTTAAAATGAAATAATTAAAACGCGACAGTACAAAGTATATAGAAAGGTATTGTATAGGTATAGGGTCTGCTTATGTTTATTTTCGTCAGTATTCCGTACTTTTTATTGTCATTTCTAAACATAACATTTACACTGAAATATCATTGCAAGTTCTGGATCTGAATGGAAATTATAATTAACAAAAATAATATATAATAATTTAATATAACAGGTAAAGCTATACCCCGCCGCAAACCATACCCGTTTTTCTAATTGTATATGCTTCGGGGCCGCAATTTGTATATTAACAAAACTCATATTTTATATTTACAACTCAGCTTCAATATCTTCATCGATATTGTTTATTCTAGGTCTATTAGTAGGCCTATTATGGTGACGGATAGGTCTAATTAAAGAATAATAACATTTTTGGCGATGATTTTTTAAGATACCTTACCACCAGTTTTTATGTTAAACAACTGCAATAATTAAATTCATTATGATAGTAGATTAGTTCTTATACTAACTAAATTATTAGCTTTCAATCAAAAGTTAGAATTATAAAATGCTTTATTTGCCAATTAAGAGACGAATAAGCCTGATACAGTTCCTGTATTGTTTTGAATAGACCTTTTGTCTGACAGGCCTAATGAGTTTTGTTTTGTTTTGTTTTGTTTTTTGGTTTTTTTTTTTTTTTTTTTTTTTTTTTTTTTTTTTTTTTTTTTTTTTTTTTTTTTTTTTTTTTTTTTTTTTTTTTTTTTTGTAGGAAACGAAATGTCTGTAAACCAGGAACAACATAATTTTATCTGAGTTTAATTTGAAGTTGATAATTTTTTAAATAGCAATTCTGTATTTTTATTGACTTATTTTCAGAATTATGAAAGACGTGTTATAGATAATATTTATTGACCGTATACTTTATCAATTGACAGAAATGGTATTTTTTCTCAGCGTTTGGTTGAAGGCTTTACAGTACTCTTTAATTTAAATCGTATACAAAGTATTTCTATCAAAAGATATGTAAAAACCTTGTTAATTCTAGGATCCATAAGATGAATCCTTTCTTTAGAGATCGCTGTTAAGTCTTTCGTCATCTCTTAGGACCACCATGGTCTGACCGACTGTTTAATACCCTCCCAAAGGATCATGGGAAATTAAACACTCAGAGAACTTGTTATCAAGACAACGTTTTAAGTACTTTAACAATTGTATACAGTGGTAAAAGTAAAATTCAAATTGAAAACTTCATAGCTTTAATAATGAATAAAAAATGTATCAAGTTACCGTACACACAAGTTGTGCCTACTAGTCGCACAGTTAATAAAATATGCACTTTATACCAGTAAAACAAATTAGAGCAGAATGGCGATTCTCACAAATAATTACTCTCGATATTCGTAGGTAGATATTGTCAAATTTATCTAACTCAGAACATTTATCTACAATTGGCCATAACTTACTAGACTGGTGCGTATACTTATACTACTCACTTATAAGTGATAGTAATCTATGTATCTTTAGATATCTGAATGGCCTGAATATATTTTAAGACATGCGTACACATTGATGTAGAATAATACATCTGTTCAAAGTAGACCCTATGCATCTTTTAAGTACCATGTAAGTTGCGAGTCTAGCTTGCCCGAGGCGTCTATTGGCAATTGCCTGCATTACCCGTCGTAGTTTTGCATCTTACCATTGTTGACAGTTGCTTTACTCCAATCCGAAGTACAACAACCCCCGGGACATTCTTAAGGTGAAGTTTGTTTATATGGCTAATTTGTTCTCATGTTGTCGAGTATAATAGTGCGTGTACTAGGACAAGTGAGCAAAAGGGAACATGGTGCTCTATTCAGTTGTTTTAAACATTTATACAGTAAGGCTCATATATATAAATATAAAAATATAATCAAATAGATAAATAATAATAACTGTGCACTATTTATCTATTTGTTATATTTGTTACGGTGTAACTTTATTTAAATATTTTTTTTACTATGATTTCCCAGCTGCGACCTAAGCGTGTCTACCTTAACCATAGCTCCATTATGTGTTTAGCTTTTCAGTCAGGTTTATGAAAAAAAAGCGCCTACCAGGATAGGACTGCACCACATTATGTGTCAGTGGTCTAATGGGTATGATACTCGCCTCGACAGCGAGAGGTTGCATGTTCGAATCCAACCAGAGACACATGTTTTTTATTCATACAGCTGAAATAAAGCTGTATATATATAATATAGACCTATATAATGGCCAAGCCTATAAGCTAAGTGATTCATTACGATTTAAGCCTTTGAACAGTAGGCAAAGGTCTACGGTATATTGATAAACAACACATAGGCCTATTTATCTTTACATATAGACCTATATAATATAGGCCTAGGTTGTAAACAGTAAAGAAGACAAATATCTGCTTAAATGATAATCAATTCATGGAGTGACTTAATTGATATACTGATATACATACAGTATCTATAAATAAATATATAGGCCCTATGACCTATACATGCATTATATATATATATATATATATACACCGTATATCACTGCATTAGTTAAAAGTATCTAATGTTAAAATAGACTTACATATAAACATATAGGCATATTATATATATACATATATATATATATATATAATAATAATAATAATAATAATAATAATAATAATAATAATAATAATAATAATAATAATAATAATGCTAGAGATTAATGTATTTTCATCAGCCATAAGAAAGCATGAAGGTTATGGTTTTAACACCTGGAGCGAGGCTAACGCGAGAGCTGGAGGCAGGAAACCAGCCGTGCGATTCCTAAGGACGATTTTTATTTGCTATTTTTCCCAAGAGCCCCGGACTTCCCTACAAACTAAAACGACACAATTGGTTTGATGGTGAATTGGTATCTGTAGGAAATCATTTTCCATACACACCCTATTACTCGACCAATTCGTCTCGGAATACAAAATCAAAGGCTTGTGGATTGTATATAGGCATTTACTTTGATCTCTGATCGGTTATTGCATTGGGTGATATTGATAATATTGCTTAAGTTATACTTATTATTCGGATCGGAAATAGCTAAGCCCCGTAACCATCAATGTCATTATTAATCATTATTATTTGTTTATATTGTTGTGTTTGCCAAAAACCTAACTCCACTCTATTACCATCCAGTTTATTCTTTGCTTTTTCTTTAATGAATATTGTAATTATAGATTGGAAAAAATGCTTATAGTTCGAGAACATAGTTTAATATAATGGCTGGGCCTGGTCTTGTGGGATTTTAATTGGCAAAGGAAGTTTTGGTTTATTGGCAATAGAATTTGATTCAAGAAACACGTGGTAGAAAATCAAATCGGGCTATCATTACATTCATTAGGCGGGGAGTATTCCCACGGGTGTTTTATCGTGTCGTACAACATTGTAAATACACAATAAGATATGTATGGACACACTTAGAAAGATATCAATAACGCAGTATATTGTGTATAGACATCTAACATAAAAATATTATATGAATAAACATGTAGTCCTAGGTCTTAAAATATATTATGTAAATGTCGTGGCCTATAATTCTGTATGTTATTAAGCTACTTCCTTCATGATTATAAGCCTACACATAATTATGTCGGCTTTATTGTACAAATATACACATGGTCTTACATACTTACATAGAGATTGCTTATCCTTTTTTTGTATTATTATAATGTAGACAGATCATTCTGACCAATGGATGTAATGTTAAAAGGTCTATACATACATACAATACCTTCTGGTATAACACTGAGATAAACGGAAATTGTCTTGCAGTAATACACGTGTATAAAAAATATGCTTATATATATAGGCTATATATATATATATATATATATATATATATATATAACAATATTATATATATATATA